GCTTGAATCGAATTTCAGCTCCTTTTCCGACATCTAAAACAAATAAAGAGAAATTTCAATGAATAATTAGCAAAAGAGCGTCAAATACCAAGCTGTCGATCCGTATTCGATGCAAAATTTCGCAAACGCAAAACTCATCAGAAGTAGCAGCCAAAACTAAAGAAGCTCTACCTGGTCATTCCAAAAGCACAAAATGGAAGTCAAAATCAGCCCAATTGGCAGGAATTGAAGAAATAAAAAGTTGGCTCCAGCAAGAAATTTCGCATCACTTACGCAACATTTTTGCTCAGGATAATGATGGGTTCAGTTACGCTATCTCTTATAGCGATTATTGTTAATAAATCGTTGAAGATACGTTTGAGTCACAAGGAACAAATAACAAGTTTCGCTAGTTTCGCGTTTGTTTACATAGCAGATCTCACTTTTCTGTGAACTGTTAACAACTTTTTACTTGAAAGTGAGCTACTAATTTCTCGTTGTACTTAATTTATTCACACAGAAGAAGTAACAAACAAAACATGGAAACTGCAGACGCATTAGCTAACTGCTTTTCATTAGACAATTGAATAACAGCCTACAACCAAAAAGCGGCTTTCACGTGTTCTTCAGGAATATAATTACTTACAAAGTAAATTTTTGAATCACGTTCTGTAAGAAAGAAATGAAACGACCGTATTTAATTGAGACTAAAAGGGTTTCAATTGATGGATGTACATACAAGTTCGATAATGTTACCAACGACCCAAAAGGGTTGGCTCCAGTTATGTTATGAAAAGTATACCAAACTTATTGCCTCTGAATATGATAAAAAATAGCTGTTAAATGAAAAGTTGGGCATAGATAACAGTCAAAGTTATCCCAACGGCAACTGCAAGCAGTAGTGATAAACAAAAAATGAAAAAAACAGCGATATTACTTTGAACCTTCACGTGTCCTAAAATATTTTTTTTTTTTCAACTCTGAAGAGTTGGTGCCATACTTTTCTAAAAAGTCGTCCAAAGCAAGAGAAACCAACGGATTTTCTCTCTGGTTTGGGAAGACTTCGATTTGGTAGGGTTTCTTATGTTCTGTGGTGTAAATAAAGAAAGCACCTTCTTGAGATTAACATCGTAAACATTAGCATGGTTGTTCACAGGAGGATCTATCAAGCCTTCCAAATTTTTTTTCAAACTCTTTTAATAGAAATAAATGGGAGTATTCAGCGATTTAATAGCAACATGGTCGGAAAAACGAAAATTTGTTCTGGATGCAAAACTCACAAATGATGAGGAAAGCCAAAATTAAAGAGAAATAACAGCTAAATCAAAGGAATTCTGCCTGTTCCAAACAAAATCAGTATAATTGTCAGGAACTGAGGAAAAAAGAAGCTGGCTTCATCAGGAAATTTCGCATCGCTTACAGGTAACATCTGTTATAATTTCGCCTTTTGTTTATGAAAGAGTAAACAAAAAAATTCCCTTTTTTGCGAAGCTTTTTCTTTGAGAGATTTTGTCTTGTTGATGTTTTTGATATAAAATATGTCTTTGATCCTAGAAGATTATAAGTTTTGGAAAAAGCTTAATTGTACCTCGAACACGTGCTATTTTTTCTACTTTTCTGCACCTAGAAATGAGCATGATACTAAACTAGCAAGGAAGGCTTTTTGAACACGCTTAATAAAATGTATAGTCATAGCATCAATTCCTATTTGTTTTTAAGAGGTTCACACTTTGGTTTCAATTTGTAATTAACGCACCAACATTATCGCAACGCGATGCTAATAATTTTCAAATCCACTTTGAGGTAGCAGGGGTCTGGTAACATATCGTGTAAACCTCGATTCGACGATTTTTGTTTACAGTTCATATTTTCGGCTTGCCAAATTAACAAAAGAGAAAGCCAGGAAAAATCAATAACAACAGTGAATAGTAATGGAAGAAATTGCATCATAATAAGTCTAAAAGAATCGACAACTCTACGATGTGGAGTTATCATTAATTTAGCACCACCACCGCTTTCCAATACTCCTAAGGTGGCACGAAAGAAAAGGTACAAATACATGTACAGCTCAACTCCACGAGACTCAACAATTCTGCTTTCCACCCATTGTACAGTCAATTTTAGGCAACTATTTTCCTTGCTTATAACCATAACTTGAAAATAAGCCCGAATAGGAACCCTAGCAAGCAATAACCGTTACCACTCCATAACCAGTGCAAGCGTCCGAAAGCTAATTTTGCCAGTGGCCATCCTCAAACACAATGTCATTATCACATTCGATCAATAATTTCGTATAATTGGAAAGTATCTACGAAACATTTCCGTTAGGCCATAACTCTATATCTGAAAAGTATTCAAAATTCAAACCATGCACTTTAACCGGCCGACTAGAGAGATCTACTGTATGTCATTGTAAGCCGTATTTTCAGGAGGTTCTCTAATAGCTAAGGTCAGTTTCTTGTCGTTGTATACTGATACATTATGCAATGGAATTAGCATCACTTGCTAATAATAAAACGAATATAGCTGTTAAAGCCCACTCATTCTATACCAAGTCCTATTGATGTTAGTCAATTAATCCCCCGCCCCCACCTAGTTAGGAAGTTAGTAATAATCGTAATGGATATAATACTAAGAAATGCGATTAGAATCGAAATGGAATAGTGATGGGTAATAGTCTTGGTCATAGTTGTTCTGAATTTCGCAAAAAAATTCCACTAAACAATCGTGAGCTTTTGGTTTCCGGTAGGTATGTTGTGTATCGGTAAAATCGTCGTATAAACAGCTAGTAATATTTGATATCATTAGGATCTTCTTTGACAGACAAGCACGAAGTATTATGCTTTACGTTTTATTTATGTTCCCTAAGTTCAAATTACTTCATACGAAATATGTAAAAAAATTGGGCTGTTCTGGGAATCGAACCCAGGACCACCATCACCCTAAGATGGTATCATACCACTAGACCAAACGGCCACTTGTTACTTCATATCGTAGTATATTTTAATTATTCAGAATACTAGGGCTGTGAGTCCTCAAAAAAGATGAAATAAATGAAAGTACAACCCGACCCATTTTATACTTTTAGAGACTTGTATTTTTATTTCAACGCTATAAGTTTCATGCTACTTGTTGATTTTCCAAGATTGCGTGGATGTCGAGTTGCATGGACCGGCCTTGGTGATGGTTAGGATCTTTTAATGCAACGTTGAGATGAAATCACTTTCTAGTAAAACTGACTGAATTCTTTTATAATTGAGATAGATATCCATGTGTATTAAACGTGCGTTTTGCCTCCACGTGGTACATAAACCGAGCGCTGGCTGGTCACTTGAAACACAACATACCCATAATGAAATAGTTTTTCTACTGATGAAATCCTGTTAATTTCTAATACGGAGTAATGATAAATATAAATGGTTTATAGTCCTCCGAGACATTACAATGTACCACAATTTATTTAATATCTCTTATATAAACTTTATTATATCTAAAGCACAGCGCGGCCGTTTGGTCTAGTGGTATGATACCATCTTAGGGTGATGGTGGTCCTGGGTTCGATTCCCAGAACAGCCCAACTTTTTGGTCATCAATTTGGACAATGGAATGCATCTTTGCGGTTAAACTCAAGAAAAGGTCAGCGACACTCAGACTTAGGATAACTGGAGCTTGCTACTTTCCTAGAGATGTCCATTATAGCATAAAAGGAAATGATTTTTATATTGAGTAAAAGGCTTTGAAAGACAATGTTGTCTAATAGCTAAAATAGTAAACTAACGAGAACTATTTACTAAAAGTGGGGAGGAATAACAGAAAAGCAAGAGCTACTCAATTGCTGTTGAACGATGAATAAAATTAATTAAAACAAACTTAAGCACCAGTAGCAGGGAAGCCACAAGCAATCTTGAAAGAGTCATAGATGAGCCATTGAGCACCAGTCAAAGTACCAATCATGAAAATACGAACAGTAAGACCGTTCCACAAACCACCAAATCCAATATTGCGGTAGATACGAGAAGCAGCAGCACCGACTCCCTCACCAGCTTGCTTGGAAGAGTTAAGCTTAGAAACCATAGTATCAGCGGGGTGGCTAATGATAGCGCAAAGAACACCAGCCATATAACCACCAGCAAAGGAGATACCGATCTTTTCACTCTTGCTGTACATGTTCTTGGGCTTACCAATGTAACTGTACAAGCTTTCGACAATACGTTCAAAAGAGGCAAACTTCATCATGGTGTAAGGAATTTGACGGAACCACAAAGGAGTAAGTCCGCGGTAGAGAGTACCGAAACCTTCATTAGCAACAACCTTAGTCCAAGCCTCACGAGTAGTGTTGGCAAAACGAGGAGAAGTAGTTTGGATACGAACCTTGAGAGCTTCCATAGGGCACAACATAACATCAGCCAACAATTCAGCGGAAGCAGAAGCAGCTAAGTAGACACTGGTACGGTAATTGTGAGCGTTCTCGGAACCGACAATCTTAGAGTATTGGTGTTTGAAGATTTCATAGAAACCGTATTTACCACATCCTTGAAGAGAGTAACCGACTAAAGTTGGAACACCACCGGTAAACAGACCACGAATACCTTCCTTACCGAAGATAGAGCGTAAGCCAGCCATGTTGCTGGAATAAATGTTGGGATTCACTTGTCTACGGCATTTCACCACGTCCAAGGGAGTAATGGCTGTGTGGGTAAGACCACAGGCCAAGAGACCACCCAAAGTACAAAGACCATAGTACTCAGGTGTAAAGAGTTGAACAGTCTTCTTTTGAGGAACTGAAGGGACAGGTGCGTTCGACATTGTATCAAATAAAGACGTAAAGAAGTAAAAGAGAAGAAGTTAAAGACGAACCAGGTATTATCTACGAAAGAAAATCAATTCTGTAAGGCTTTTAAAAACGATTTTTTTTCGTTTTTAAATAATAATTTATGTTTATATCAATAAAGAACGGGGTTTAATCACTAGGAGATTGAAATTCTTACAATTTCCAACTTGCTCCAAAGAGGGGGGGTGGTTTGTAGAAGGAAGGAGTGAAGCACCTGTGAGAGAAAGGATGTCTCCGCGCGCTACCAGTTTGACTGTTTCGTCTGTGGTCTTCCGTTGGCTCGCTCCGGTATGCTCTATCGGACCAGAAATACAAGCTTAGCGTAACCTTGCCCAACCACCTTATGTCTCACTATATAGAAAAGATTAAAATGAATTTCCTTGATTTTGATTATAATTACAGAGGCATAAGTGCATTATAGAAAGCAATAAAAGTTTTAAAAATTACCATGTCCCAAAGTCCAAAAGGGCAGTAAGACAAGATCACTGTTGTCAAATTTCATTCCTGCGGCAATTTCGATGCATGTAGGTAATAAATTAAACAAACCATTTAATATTAGAACTTAATCTAGATAGATTCTTTTAATATATAAACCTGAAATCCATAACTTCCAACTAAATTTATCAGTTTTTCACTCAACGAAAGCAGCTAAGTTATGACAAACCAATCAACGGAAGTTTTAAACCTGCCCAAAACAATGAATAGAAAGAAATCACCATTCCCAATCCGCGGGTGTTTCAGAGGCCCAATTAAATTTGTCGCGTATCGTTTTACTAAACAGCTTTTCAATCGGAACATCTTCTCGTCTACTAAATGAAAACGTAAGTCGTGGATCAATGTAATTGATTTTGCTAGTTGTTAAAGCAGTCGTCTTGTTCTCATCCTTATCGATCATTTGAGTACGCATCACCTTGATTCGCTCATTTAATTTTGTCAAGCGACTTTCTAAGCGTTCGAGCGTTGCTCGTCCAGGATGAACTTTGGTTGTTTTATACTCAGCATCCAACACCGCTTTCAGCTGGTCCGCCGCCGTTAATCGTTTTTCTAATTCATTGTCAGGAAGTTTGCTCTTTGGATCTTCAGCCATAATTTTTTCGTTATCACGTTCAAATTTCTTCTTGATCTTTTCTTTTTCTAATTCATAAAGTAATTCGTGATGCCTTTCAACCCATTCATCATTTATACCTTCTTCTCCCTGTACCAGTTCCGGCTTCTTTTTCGACAGTTTAGGTTCTAAACTTAACATCATTCTATGTAAACGAAGTCTCTGATACTGTAATGCTTTTATACGTTCCTCATACCGCTCCATTTGAACGTCATGATTCTTCGTTACAGACCGTTGATGGTTACATAAAACTGCTACCGTTCTGTTGGCACGGTTATAAAATAAGACCTTATCTGCAAGGGATAAGTTCTTGGGCATTTTCTTTAGTTCTACGTTCATCGTATGAGATGCATTATATGTACGGAATACCTTTGCTGATAGTCCATCCATTAAGCTCGTAAGGTATTTGTTCAATGTGTTGGTTGTTAAACGATCGAATATCAAGTCTCCTTCTTTCTTTGGTGAACGTTTAAAAATTCTCAAATTTTTGAAAACTTGAGGGTCCACCTCTACTTCGTTATAATACCGAATAGAATCTTTACCTAAAAAGTCAAAGATTACAATGTTAGGGGGTTTCAGTGTAACATGCTCATAGCGTAATGAACAACAACCAACAGTATCTGCTTCATCTTCACCTTTTTCGTTACCCGCACGAAGGGCAAAGACATCAATCAAGTACATGGCTGTTCCTCGCTGGCGTTCCACCGTTAGATCACTCTTGAGGTCTTTTGTGTAACCCTCTCGAATATCATCAATATAATCTTTCAGTTTTCGAGATTTTTCGTATTTCTTTAAGTCACTCTGTCCTTTCAAAGAGCTACCAGCTGCCAGGAAAACGTATTTCACATTATTGTTAACATTTTCATGCCAAGTAGCCAGCCAAGTGACTGTATTATCATGTCTTACTTCAGCCCAATGATGTCCTGGTAAAGGCTCAGGAATGGAAGCTTCTTTGCCTATGTTAATTGTAATTTGCTCTGGATAGACACGCCGCTTTAATGAACCCGTTTTAGGATGGTTACCTCGTCCACGGAAAAGTCCAGGTGGCTCAATGCGGAAGTTACCAACACGTTCCTTGCGATTGTCCAGTAGACACCATTTATACTTTTCTTCTTCCTCATCTTTTTTCTTTTTAAGTTCCTTCTTTTGTTCTTTCGACATATTTCGTTTTTCCTCTCTTTTTCGCTCAAAATACTGGAACATTTGGGTAAAATCACATTTGGAAAATTCTTTGATATTATGTTTAAAATTACATTCGTCGCACACTGCTAGGAAATCACGAAAAAAGTTTTTCTGGAAAGTTGGGTTTTTAGCATGGTCGGTTTCCAACATTGCGCCAAAAAACCCTGCAACTTCCTCTGCTTCCAAAGGAAGATCCACCGGCTTTCCATCATAGTATAGTTTTACATCTTTTGGAAGAGGTTCATACGGAGGGGCAAATATAACACCGTTGTGTTCCAGGGTAGTCCATTTTTGGGTACCATCGAGATTTCTTTGTTCCCACCATTTAAATTCTTCTTCTTCTTCCTCTTCCTCTTCATCGTTTGGAGAACGGTTACTGCCCGTAACCGTGCCGGATTTAAGCGATGGAGAGGGAGGGCCACTTTTTAGCGGAGTTAAATCTCGATCATCCATTTCTTCTTTCTTAACAGGAGTACCATTTGTTTTTTTTGTTTCTTTAGATTTTCCTCTGGCTGCTCGTGGCTTCGCTTTGGTATTTAACGGTAGATCATCCTCGTCCTCCTCCTTAACCTGTTTGACTTTTTTACGCGTTCCTTTTTTTATTTCATTATCTTTTTTGTTACGTTTCGTAGCACGTTTAGTCTTTTTCTCTACAGGTGCGCGTTTACTTCCTATAGGAACATCGTCCTCATCATCATCGCTTTCGGGTTTCACGGGTTTAGCTTCACTCAGGGGAAGTTCCTGTTAAAGCAATGGTTAACTAAAGCCAAAAGAAAACACTCATGCATACATCAAAACTCTCATTTTCATCATCCGACTCTTGGAGATTTATTTGTCGGCCAGTGTTTCGAACAGAACGCCTCCGAGCTGAAATAGAAATAGAGTCCGAATCTTTTAAATTGTTAGCGTAAACTTATAAAGTAGAAGCTGCATTTCCTACCTGATGAAGACATTTTTCAATGTTCGTGTGTTGTAGAAGGATAGTTTATTAGTATACGAAGTCAGTGCTGGCATGGCAACCAAAATACACATAATACTATAAACAATAGGACAGACAAATTATAATAATAACTATAGACAACTAGCAGATGGAATTTAGTACTTGTTTTCATATTCAAATTAGTTTGCTTCTAAGGATGAACTTTTTAACTACTATCGTCGTGAATCCGTGAATAGACTTCCTGAAGGTCGCCTAAATCTGCGTTTCTTAAAGCATTATTTCATTAATCAATCGCAATGTTTTTTATTAGAGACGATTAATTAGTAGACATTACTCATCAATCAGAGTTTGGATAGGTGGCATAAAGGACTGTACAACTTTACCACCAGTAATCATGCCTGTAGTCATGAAAGTAAATTCGAAATTTTCAAATTTATCAGCCAATAAACGGAATGCTGAAAGTTCAGTAAACGTGCAGCCTCCCAGGAAAAAAACAAGGATTTTTCTCTTTTTATCCGTTCCTCTCGTAAACGTTCGAGTAACATTTTTATCTTGCTGCTTAAACCATCTATCTACGTATTCACCGGGGAGGTTTTTTAGTTCCCTTAGTTTCTCAGGATTGTCTCTGTTTTGCAAAATATCATAAGACATATGCACAGACAAGGGCCCGTATCCACTGTAGGTATAAGAGATGTCCGAAGGATGCTGTTCATCAACTTCTTCATTAATCAATGGATAGCTGTTAAGCCAAGTGGTATATGAGAAAGACCTTTGCAAAGAAATATTGCTTGAGGGTCGAACACGTAACAGCCCAACGTCAATTAGACGTTGAAAGGTCAATAAATTCTTATATCCATAAGTCTGAACAATTTCTTTTCGGTAATAATCTATATCTCTCTGCTTTAGCCCTGTTGAAACGATACTAGCTAAACAGAGGATACGGAACACTTCTTCAACAGGTACATCTGTATAAATCAACTGATCTAGTAAAGGAAATTGACTGGAAGGTTCAGCGCCAGAAACAAGTGATTGTTGTATTTGTAAGATTTTCTGAAAGGTACTACTCTTTGCATGCTGCATCATTAATTCAGCGAGTCCAGTGTCTATCTGTTAGTTCATATAGAAAGGGAAGTGCAAGCTTCCAATATATACTTACGTATATTTAATGAAGTGTGTTCTGACTGCAAAGAACCCAATTTCGACACAAAATCGCGAATCTGATTCACTGTTTTAGCCTGACGGCGGCCTTCATAATCACTTGAAAGTTTTCGAGCAATTTTTCCCAAGTAGGAGCCAATGCAATTGAAGTTTACATCTTTAACATCCTTTGTGATCGTACTATACGATGAACTTAAGGAGAATTTCTTGTGTGTTCCGGAAGACGAATTTTCATTTCGACTTACTAAGTTCGGGGGAAGTTTTACGTTCACTAAAAAGCTCAGTTAATTTGAGTTAGAAAAAAAATAACTTACTCTGATCGATTCCTAGTACTTCGTCTAAAAGACCAAAGTATGTTAACTGAGTGAGAAACGGAGTTACCCAATCCATTGTACGATCCATAATTAAGACACTATCATAAGAAGTAGAAAAATCAACTTCATCTTTTCTTGCGTTATTTATAGCTTCTTCTTGGTACCACTTATCCCAGATCTCGATAAGTTTAGCTGAATTGGAACCACGACCAGATGCTCGAGGAAATCGCCCGTTATGTGACTCAAAGTTAACCAGAGCTCTGACAGAAGACTTAAGCAAACTATCCTCTTTAGCACCAGGTTTCAGTTCTAAAGACAAAAGGTCCTCATCCAAAGGTACCATGTGTAGCGACCATTCCATTATAACCAATTCCCCGAAAACACCCTCTTCTTGAAGCACTGTCTCAAACAGAACATTTGTATCCGGAAGTAAAATAACAGTATTTTCAGTTTGGTTCATATTCCGCTGATGTTGCCGAACATGAGCAGAAACTAATCTGGCATTCTCATACGTGGGTCGACATAAATAGATGACTTTCTGGTCTAATTCTTGAGGAATATTTTTGTCAAACCAAAATACTTGAGGAATCCCATGTTCTTGAAGAGTATTAGTCGTAATAACTTGCCCTAAAATGCCTGATAACTCCCGTTCTAATAACAGGCTTTTCTTTCCTGCAATCTGTATTGTTGTTAGTCATTAAATCTTTAAAGAAAAATAACATACAGAGTCTATAAGATCTAATAAATAAAATCTGGCTGATTCTTTTGCGTCCTTGCTCATTGAATCATTAAGCTAGCCCAAGTGGTAAAAGTAAGGAACGCTGTGCAGTCAGAACGAAAGCAATTGAGCGCATCCAGTTTAAGCGCAGTTTATAGATTTGGTATTTTATTCCATCCTTTAACTTTTGATTTATGCCATGCTGTTTCAGTGCTACTGCTTATTACAAGATTCTGTTCAGTAGCACAACAGACTTAATTGGTTTGAAATTTGGAGTATTATAAAAGACAAGGTTTTATTTTTAGTTAAAAAGATTTATTCTTTTTGAAAAAGAAAGGATTCAGAAGCGTACCTTGACCAAGCATGCTCTTCAGTAATTAAACCATAAGTCCATGAAAGTCAGTCATTCAATTGAAGAGATTTATATGCCAATATAATTACATAAATTTTTTTTAGGTTTAAAGGGTTTCTTAACTTTTCATAGTCATAAGCATTTTTTTTTATTTTTTCGTTCTCCTTCTTGCCGTACCACTAGCACCAAATTTTGGAAATTTTGAAAAAGCAGTATTTTTCTTATTATTTCCTAATTCTGAATGACAAATGGGGATTTCGATGAGCAATACTTAATCCGTAAGTGCTTACAAAGTTGTATTTTTCTTATATTAACATTCAAATGACATAGCTGAAAGTGGAGCGGTAATTCAGGATTATCTTGATGACTTTCTGTATACCTCATGGTATACGGGAAAACGAGACCTCATTGAGTTGGATAGCTATGGATTTCCTACAGAAGCCAACTTTAGAGTGAGCACTGATCCATTAGTTGGAACTACAGTCCGTCAGAGTATTGATTTTCAGGGAATCCCTTGGGGAAATGAAGCGATTGGACCTAGGGAATATTTTCGTCTTTATAGACTGCATACGTACAGCTTGGCTTGTAATCATTCCGACTGGTCTCCGGACGAATTGTCTATAGACGATGTTCGAATTTCCCCGTATGATCCATTTTTCGAGTTTCATACCTTCTATAAAACTCCAGTGTGCGTGAAAAATCATTTTCATCTTTGCAAGAACCTTGCATTCTTCGGGGAATACAGTATTCTTTATGTTAGCAACTCTGGTATCCAAGGACAGAATTTATTGACTAAAGAAGTGGCCGACGTGTTTGACTTTCGTAATAGTATCTTACAGAAAAATTCTATCTGCTGTTTATCAACTTCTCAGCAACTAGGGTGCTTTAGTACTTTATACGGACAGTATGGTATTTTTAATCCAAAAACTCAAAGTTGCAGCATTCGAAAGATGCATGACGAGTCCATCAACCATATACAATTGTTAGACTACAAAGGTTTGGCAGTTCTTGGATGTAACGACGGAACAGTGGCTTTGGAAGATATAGAAAAGACTGGTAATCAAGTAATTTTCCGTGGCACAGATGCTGTCAATAGTATACATCCTTCTCCTGATTTATCTTTATTATTGATTTGTTCAGATTGCAAGCGTGTGCCATTATTCGATTGGAGGTCAAACCAAGTGGTCGATGAGATTTTTCACTCTGATTCTGTTCTTACTGGATCATGGCATCCAAATGGACATATTCTTGCAACAGGAGGACAGGACACTACCTTAAAGATATGGGATTCAAGGTTTTTTAAATATCCAATTCGCACGCTGGGAAGCCAAATGAGTGCTGTTACTAACGTAGTATTCTCTTCCACCGGCGACAGTCTTGCTGCAGTTGAACAAGCTGATTTTGCGCAAATCTATAACACCAAGACGTTCAGTGATTGCCAAGTTATAGATTTTTTCGGTGAAGTATCCGGCGCAAACTTCTCTCCTTCCGGCGACACGTTCATCGTTGGCTTAGATGATCCCATGCTTGGTGGGATCATGGAGTTTCGAACATCCATTCCCAGTCATCTAACCTGCTTTTTTTGATAGGTTCTAAGTCTTTATACTTACGATTAGACTTTGAATGATTAATATTTTCTTGCTTTAATTTCATATGTTGCATACACAATTGCTTTTTGTCTAATGTCTTGATTTTAAATTCTAAAAGAAAACTGAACATAACATTAACATTAATCTATCCCAACCCTAACTATTCAGAAAGCCATCTTATACATCAATACACATAATTTATACCCTATTTTTCATTCTGTTGGCGACATTTTGGACATTGTTCGTCAACCTCATCCATTTGTCTATTCTCTGGTGAGTCATGGTAACATGATTGATGTACAGAGTGACCGCACTCAAAATGTAGAAATCTATCATTTGGACTACAGCCACCTTGGTCTCCAAGCTGACACTGAGGTTTGGTAGATGTTGGTCGACTGTAAGGATGATGACGCACATTTCTACGGGCGACAGGAGCTACCATGCGAGGAGTACTAGCTCCTGATGGAATTCTGCTCGTTTCTCCAATGTCACTACTAACTGCTTCCGATGGAGTAGAGACGGAAGGTCGATCGACATTAACGCCTTCGTCGATAACGCTGGCAGTATTAGCTGAAGGCAGCTCAGGTTGTGATGGAGATGCACTTGGAACGGCAACACTGGTACTAGTTTGATTTTGAGGAGCTTCTGCTTGGTTAGTAGCTTGCTCCTGTTGAGGATGCTCAGTCGTTTGTCGCATACGATTTTCAAACTCCTCTTGGAATCTTCTAACTATGCGTTGACCCATTTCACTAAGGTGTCTTAACCCTGAAGGAAGAGCTGAAGATAATCTAGAACGGCTTTCATTATTTTCTAAAGAATCTCTGCCACTTTCAGTTGTGCTGCGATCTTCATTAGAACCATCGTTGTTTGTTTGAGTCTCTCCTGTGTTTGTTGGAGCAGTAACAGTTGCATCGGCATTAGGTGGACGAAAGAAGTAGATATGAATCATAGGATTCGTAGATGTAGCTCCTTCAGGTCTTGTACGGTCTTCTTCAGAAGGTTCGGTAGTATTAGCAGCTTGTTCTTGTTCATTCATATTTTGATCGACATTGCCTTCACGACCAACAGAGGGTTCTCCTTCAGCATTCTGAGCCTGTCTGGCATGGTTTTGAAGATTTAGCAAACCATTGGGACGAAACAAACTTTCCAACACGGTAGGCAAATCTGCAAGGGAAGGCAAACCATGGAAGGTAATAAATTGGGTTGATGGCCGACCAGAAGCATCACCTGACTCAGGTGTTTGAGCGGTGTTTGGCTGACCAGCCGGGGGAATAAATGGAGGAAAGTTCAGTATATTTGGAGGCTGAACTAGGGTTGACGGCTCAATCGGCCGAGCAGCACCAACCTCTGAGTTTTGGGACTCTGCTGGTGGAGCATTCTGTCTTTCCGCATCTGAAGCGGCATCTGTACGCATTGAGGGCAGATTACGATCCAAAGGATTAGAAAGGAAGGAGTTGAAAAGAGACGTCAGGGTGATAGGAGGACGAGGCAGAGAAGACGCCGGTGGAGCAGGCTCCGTCGACGGGGCATTGGAGTTGGAATCAATGGGATTTTCGCGCTGTGGCTGAGAAGTCGACAGTGCTGGTGAATTTGATACAGATGGAGAATCAGATGCCGACTCTGTCGTTTGAGGCGTACGATGAGGTGCAAGGACGAAGCGTATGCGATTCAAGGCGATACGGGGAGGAGTGGGTGTACCCTCATTTGCACCATTTGCAGGAGTAGCGTTGGGTTCCGCGCCCTCTGGACGTTGTTGTTGAGCGAGTGAAAAGAAAGGATTAGTATTTTCAGCAGGAGCTTGTTCGGCATTTTCGCCCTGATTTTGAGGACGATGGTTGGAATGAGGAATGATAAACAGGACAGGAGGATGAGAAGAGCCAATCGTTTCATGTGGCACTTCTTTGCGACAAAGAGGACAACTACAGTGATCGTCGAGCCAGATTTTAAGACAGTTTTTACCAAAAATATGACCACAAGGCATACGAGTAGCCGTGGTCTCTTCATTTATATTCATATCATCATAGCAAATGGGGCAGCTTATATCAGGGAGTTGCTCGGAAGAGACCTCTTCAAAAGAATCCCAAGCTTCCTTAAGAGCTCGCTTTACTGGAGGTTGAAATGGGTTAATAAAGTTTTCATTTTCGTTTCCATCAGCTCCTCCTCCTCCTCCTTGAGGGGCGATAATAAACATCGTGCCAACAGAAAACGCCAGCGGATGCTCGCGATTTTCTGGATTACCACTCTGGCCTTGACCTGGTTGAGAAGCAGTGTCCTGGGGCGGCGGTTGAGTACTATCATTCTGATTTCCGCCAGCAGGCTCTTCTTCCCAAGGGAGGGTGGAGCGATCTGTTGGATTGTTGGAATCCATTATAAGCTATGAACAAACAAATACGGACGAAAATTAGAACACACAAAAAAGAAAATAAAAAAGACAGATAAAACGGATCAAATAGTCAGCAGGGAAAAAGTCACAAAACAATGAGGGGTCAAGAAAATGGAAATAAATAATAGGAAGGATAAACGAAAATGCAAACTCTGGAATCGAATAGGAGCAGTAGCGGTTATAAATTATAAAAACACGTAAATGACAATAAAACTAAATGTATATATACAACAAAATGCTTTAAAGCAATCGATCCAAGTCGAAATCGACAAAAATGGATATTCAAACTGAAACTCAAGTTAAGAAAGGCTTAAAACAAAAAACAACCTAAATTATTATTGTTTTCTCCATCGAAATGACACACTGCGATATCAAATTCCAAACAATCTGTGACAACTGTACAGAATCAGTTTCAATATTCGACTGAAATACCAGCGTTCAACTCCGTTAATATACAAGGCAAAAGACAAGAATGAATGCGCCCTCTTTGTAATATAAGATATATGATAAATCCAAGTTTACGCAAGAAAGGCCAATTGGAAATTTATATAAGTCGCAAAAGTATTTACAGATGATCCATACTGCTCATTAACTAGGATTACGAAACGGAAGACAGAAAAGAACTTGTAAGAAAATTACGGAACGTTTACATGGTACATGTGACCATGGCGAGTGGCAAGGTGACAAAATGACTTCATAAAGTCGTATTGTACTAATGTATCATCTTATGAGAAGACATATCGTCTTCTTTAAAAGGGCAATACAAAGAAAATGCAATATAATTATAAAGAAAGCTTCTGATAATATCGATTGAAGGAAAAAAGTAAAAACAAGTTCGATTCGATGCGAGAAGAGGAAAGAAAAGAACAGGAAAAAGAAAAGAAAAAGAAAAAGAGCGGCAAAAACATTCCTTCCTTCTTCGGAAAACATAGCATAGAGTCCTAGCGTAAGTACATACAGGAGACGATATATCCGGCATTTTCAAGAAAGGAAAAGAATTAACTTGCGATGAAGTTTGTAGTTTAATGGTTCTGAATGAAAGCGGATTCTGACACAGCTATTCCTATTAGAAGGCAGAAAAGACAGAAAAATGTACCGTAAGAAATCCCTACTGGTTTGGTGAATATCTGTCCTTTACCTTGAGCTTTACGAATCGTTCATTATAGTGCTTCTACTCATTGAAATTCGTCCAAGTCTGGCTCATTTTGTATTTAGCCAAAAAAGCGCTTAATGAAGGCCCTCGAAAGGAGTTGAGATACAAATCCAGAAGAATTCGACTCCACGAGCTCCGTAGCCCATCGTCGCTTGGCATCTTTGTCACATCGACTGTACGCAGCAGTATTGACGGACGTCAATGCAATACCTATTGCTACAAGAGTAAGCCATAAAAATTGGAGGCGAACCAACGCTAGAATTCCTAAAAGGCCCCAAATTGCTGGATATATATACAGTCCATACCAAAATACTTTTTGATCGATTGTGTTCCGTGGATGATTGGGGTCAGCCGACTCAAAAATCCATATACTTTCACCATCGACACCTGTTTCATTTCTCCATCTCAGTCCAACAAGCAGTCGGCCAGAGACGTTCTTTACGGTCCACAAATCCATCGCCAGTAATGTGAATATCAAAATAAATAGCAACATACTAAACAGAAAAATAATGTTAGCAAACCAACGATTCTCATGATTCCACGAAACCAAGTCCGACAACATACAAGCTAGATGTAAATAGCATTCCTAAAATATACGCAACAATGGCGCCTGTTCGAAAGAATAAAAAGAAAAAGAGAACGACCGGATGAGATGACATTCGAAACATTTTTGGTACGCGAAATGCGTTCCTCTCTTCTTCTGGGACTGCGGGAGCCTCTTGTGAATTCATCGTGCTTTGTTATGATTCTCTTTTCCGAGAGAAAAGGACAGAATGAAAGGAATAAAATTGTGTGTGAGCTTGCTGATGCGTCAACTCATTATCCCATTCAGTGTTCATATAAGGAGCTACATTTTACAACGATACAGGACATATATTGAAATGAGATATTCTCTACGGTACTAAACAAATGAAATGAAGTATTTTTGCAAATCGTAAATAAAATTCAATAGAAAAAGTTAATGAATGTATGAATAATAGGTATAAAATAAAGAATAACGAAATCATGGAAATCTGTAATGCTTTCCGTTGTCTAATGCAAATCTCGTCTACAAGTACATGAGCATTGCAAGTCATAAATCACACAGAAGCACAATCTTCACAGAGGAAGAGAGACAGTTTCCAACATATCATAACAATAGAAAGGGCGAATGAAACGATCGTCACAGTTAACCAATGTTCCCCTTTAATGGCCAATGCGCATCTCAGCATTGGAGTAACTACTGAGTGCTTTAAAGAAACTTAGGTAGCTGGGACTGGTAAATACAGGGTCATGAAAAATTTCACATAAACGTAATTGCCAGGGAGGGAATCCCCGTAATTTGAAGTAGGGTGAGAAAATAATTAATAGGTCGGGCTCAGGAATAACGCTTTCAGTCAACTCTTTGTCAATCAACTCTTGCGTCACTTGTTCACTCGTTATTACTTTCTTTGTAGTCAAGTCAGCCAATCCACGGGTTAAATCAATGATAGCATCTCTTCCATCCTCCTCAGCAATTAGATGGACCTTTAAATCGATTGGTTCCTGTTGCTCGTTCTCATTGTTCGAGCATGAGTTGCGAACGTGCACAATGTGTTTTTCACGTCCCATGTAAAAGGGCAAATGGGAGTAGATGGCTTTTTCCACAGCTTCGGGATATTGTTTCAAAAATCCTAAAGGTTAGTATATTGTTCACACAGTCATGCTGATAACAGTAAATAAACTCATTCATACCCTTCCTTTCATAAATGGTAAGCTCGGGTATGGCTGAACAAATGCACCATGACGCTAGTTCACATGTATCATGAATTAAGCCTTCCAATCCAGCATTGTCCCGGCATTCCAATATGACAGACAAATGTCTTGGTTTCTTTTTTAATTTAATTGTATCTCTGCGAATAAGATCGCGACTACAGTGATGATGGTAGAGAAAATTCAACAGAAAATTGCTACCCCATGAAATCCAGTTTTGACTAGAAACATAGACGGTAAAAGCCTTATGTATCAACCAGAAAATTAAAAAATAAAAAAGTCCACGGAACATCTTTGTCTTTAATTATCCTTGTTAATCGTGATGAGCTTCCTTTAACGCTAATGTAACCTGCTAGGTGAGGTATTGCAGTAATTAAAATGATTTATGATAGTTTAAGAAATAAGAATTACTGTCAACGAAAGAATTAAGTTGCTATTGTAAAGTATTCTTGTTTGGTTAGTTTTGTATATGGTAGGTGTCAATAGACCAACATAACAATCAAATACTTATACCCTCAGGGTTAAGGTTGCTTATTACCATTCCGGATTTTGGTTTTGTCAATTAAGTAAAGAGAAAGTACAACATTTAAAAAAAAATAAACAAATACAGTTTCATTTTTTTGGTAGAACCAATAAAACCTCTATTGTTTCGACTGAAACAAAAACAGCCTTCCCTGTATGTTAATTGACTACGTTGAGGTTTAACGTCATGAATAAAGAAATAAGTTTTATGGTAATATTTGCTCAGATTCTTTCATAAACTAAAAGTTTATATTCATATCATGTTCAATATCACTAGTCACTGTCGGAGTACTCTTCACCGCTTTCAGCATACTTGACAGGGTTCCTGCAATTATGTTAGAAATAGTTGTTTTCCTTTTCATCTCCTCTACTTAAAATGCGTTATTTTCATGGCATACCTAGTAGAGCGTTTTGGACGATCCGAGGCAATCGTTTTTTTGGGGGACTTTTCCTCTGATTCACTACCATCTTGATCATCTTGGTCTTCTTCTTCAGCATCGTCCTCATTCTCCGGCAATAGCTCTTCTTCTTCTTCTTCTTCATCGCTTACAACCTCGAGCTTTGGTTTCTTGGCGTTTTCCTTTGATGGCTTAGGTTCTGTTTTTTTGTTAGGGGCTTTGGAATTACGCTTTCGCTTTCCTTTGACTTCCTCAAGTGGCTCCTCTTCTTCTTCCGTGGTTAAAATTTCTTCTTTTACGCCTTCCTCGTCGTGCTCGTTCTCTTCTGGTGCCATGGAGCTAGAAGCTTCTACATCTTCATCATCCACATGACCCTGTTTAAAAGCTCGTATAATTTTCTCTTGAACAGCTTCATCCTCTATTTCATCAAAACCATCAAGGTTATCGACAATGTTCCCTTCTAATTTTTTTTCTACGTTTTGAATGACACGTTCAGTAACACAACCCCAGTGTCTCCACATCCAGCTTTGAAAGCGACCTGAGTCAACAAAGGAACCGAATCGAAGCTGTCCACGCTCAATTTTCGACCTTGCATTCTGTTAGCTAATGTTCCTTTTTCAATTGTGATGACGAGAACTTTTCCAGTTAAGCATAGCTTGAGCTTGGAAAATCAAATAAAAATTAAAAATAAATAAAAGAATTTCAGTACCTTCCACAGAGATTACTTTTACAACTAGCTCTGCCAGTTTTTGCAATTTCTACACGTCAGCACTCATGAATCGACACAGCCAGTAAAAACAATAAAAATATGAACAAACAAAAGCGGTAGCACATTTGATTGTGACCATACTGTTGCTTGTTATTGAAAGTGCAACTTCATACCAACACGATAACCTCCACCGCCTTCAGCCATGGTGAAATGTATAAATTAGAATAAAAAATAACTCAGAAAAAGAACAGCCTTTTTTTCTTCTCGTTTAAGAACCACAGTTACCGAGGTAGGATTTCTGACCTTGTAAACAGTGAGGAAGTAGTGTCATCATCAGACACAATAGTAGAAGCAGTCAAAAATTCAGAAAAACGATAAAGATATCGAATAAATAGGCAAATAAATAAATAAATAAAAAGTCCAATTCTTTGAAAGTTAGAATAAATGATGATTTGCTGAAAAATATATATATATAATCATAATGTGAATCACTTTCGTACCCAAAGATCATTCATACAAAAGGACTCGAAAAACTTTAATGAAAAAGATTAAAAGACAAAAAAATTAAAAGGATAATCCACGTAATCTTAATAGCGCCCAAGTCGCATTGTGAAACATCCTCAATTTCATCGTTGGGTTTTGTGTTTCTCTGAAGCAAATGAGCGTGACATTATCTAGCAGAAGAAGAAGAAGAGGGAGTCGTTTTTCCATAACGCTGATCATAAGCTACAGAAGAATTACGAGGAGTTGCTTCTTGCACACGAACAACGGGAATTGATCTAAGAAATACATTGCCATTAGTCAATTGCATACAATAACTTTATGATGTTCATAACTTACATGGATCTTCGTTTCAACAGTCGTTTAAAGAAATGACTTATAGGGAAACAACAGTTTATGTCAGAATCTGGCAAATTATTCGAAGACGATGCAGGCATGGAGCAATGTTTTCATGTCTCAAAAAGGACTTCTGTCAAGGAACCGGAACTTTTCTAGTCAAACAACGACGTAAGTTTTGTTTTCGTCAACGTTTGTTTTTTGTTTATGAGTGATTTTTCAGAAAAAAGAGAAATACTGATTGAGTCGCTTATTCTTGTATATTAGAAGAAAACTGAGGAATTTCTAAATTCGAGATGTTCGTATCTGGTAACGTACAGTGGGCAGTTGAAAGAGGGAATCAACTTACAGTTCATAGGAATACTGTCAATGAAAGTAATTAGAACACAAGTAGATTTCACTCAATATATAGAATAAGAATTAAACGAAGAAAAGAGAGATAAAGAATGAGATCACAATTCATCCAAAGGAAGCTCTATTGAAGGTGGACAAGACAATCGAAGGTACTCAAAAGCTTTCCTTACAAGAGAGAAGAAAAAAGTAGAAAAATAAAACAAGACCATGTATCGGTCTATTTGCCAATTTCATTCACAATCCATTCCATTGCTACCTAAGAGTACGGTATTTCTTATAATAAGCGTATTAGAAGCAAAAGATTAAAAAGGCATTGCCTGCTATTCTAGCAACATTAAGCAAAATCTAAAATATTACGAACATTCCTGTTTCAACTTGGAAAATTATACATTTCCGAAAATCATGTTTTATTTTTTTTCTGGACATGTCTGGAAAACAATGCGTTAAACAACTTTGTCACACGGAGGGAGAGCAAGGATGATCCTTCAAACTTGAAAAGATTTTCGCTGTACCCTTACATTACATCGACCTTCTTTGTCCACATTGCCAACTCAGTCAAGTATACATAGAAAGCTCATCAGGTTTCATCAAGTAAAAAAGCGCCAATAGATAAAGACGATAAAGAGAAAAGCAATAATAAAGACAGGTCCATATTGCTTCCACAGTGCTTCCAAGTTGACACGGCGTGCAGCCTTTTTGTATTTCGCACTAGAAAACCTTAAATCCGAACTCAAGTCGGTCATTTTCTCCAAAGAATCGCCTCGGTAAAGCAAGTCTTCAATATTTTTGGTCATGACTCTGGTAACATCCTTTAGCTCCGTATTTAGCTTGTCCAGATTGTCATTTGCACGAGGTGTATTATAAACACGTTTGGATTTCTGCATAAAGATATCTAAACACATGAATTAGCATTCCTTTTTCGTTTCTTTTCATTCTCTTTATTCCACTTACCAAATTGTACAAAAGCAAAGGGACGCAACCCTGGTTGCAAGGCCTCTTCTCCGTAGGTGCCCCAAAATTCAACAGCTAATTCCTCCAAATAGGAAAATGCAAGCTTTCTAGGATACGATCGATCACAAATACAAAGATACGAAATTCCATGTTCGATAATGTAGCTGTTGCATGTTAGTAATCAATCTATCTTTACGCTGCAAGAATCCTTGAGTTTACGAAAAGTTACGTACTGAAACGTATAGTCACCAGCTTCAATGGAAGCTTGCTTCTCGGTTGATGGGGTTAGCCTCTTGAGGATCAATTTCGCCTGTTTCTTGTGGCTTTCTAGTTTCCTTTCTGTCGATTCATCGTCCACACTGGCAGCCAACGGCAGACCTACAGAATGAATTAGCACCCGAATCAAAACAAAGTCGCATTCCAAAGCGATTGAAAGCTCAATCTAATTCCAATGACATTTACTTTGAGAGGCATCAACAAAACGCACGTTCTATCTCCAGAGCTTCCCAAGTAGAAAATTCACAAATCTTGTTCCTTCTTCCTGTTACTTACCATCCAGTCTTGTCACGCTTGTCGATTTTACCATCTTCTACAAGAGCGTGTTTTTGGTATAAAACAAAAGCTGCCTTTGCTGAACCTTGGCGAGTGCGACCCAAGCAACAACAACAACGTGCTCATACAGATCATAATAGCCTGACGAAAGAAGCTCGTTATGTATGTTAAGGAGGCATCTCGAAGTACACTAACTTTTAATACATGATAGTATGATAATGAACGGTTTATTATATTAAAGTAAGTTAGGATAGAATATACTCCAACCAAGGGAATATAATACAAGTCAAAAAGGTGAAAGGAAGCAGCAGCAAAGCTCGTTTAGTAGAAACAGCGATATTCATGGATCCTAACGAAGATACCGAGTGGTAAGTCATAAAGATGTTTCTTTGGTTGAAAAATTAATTTGTAAGGAATGATATATTACGTTCCAAAGGGATCTTACCCGAAAAAGAGCCCGATGTAGACGATGTGCTGGACGATGCATTAGTAGATGCCAAGGAGCTTGCACACGAAAATCGGTTAGAAAAGAAAACACTAGACGAACTTGATGAGCTAGAAGATGAAGAGGATGATGAATTTCTTCAGATCTACCGAAATAAGCGTGTTGAGGAATGGAAACAGAAAATGTCAAAAGCGAAGTTTGGCTCGGTTTACCCAATTTCCAAGCCCGAATATACTCAAGAAGTTACAGAAGACAGTAAAAATGTATTCGTGGTTGTCCATATGTTTCAAGATTCGTAAGTTTTCCTTGTCTGCCTCTTGGTAGATTGCTGCTGGAATCCATCTTGCTAACTGAGTAATCAGTATCCCCGCCTGTAAGCTATTAAATGGCATCCTTGAGCGTTTAGCTCCCATGTACCCACAAATCAAGTTTGTGAAAATTTCCGGCAAGCAAGCAGTCGAAAACTATCCCGATATCATGATGCCTACTTTGCTTGTGTATGGACACGGTGACTTGCAGCAGCAATACTTAACATTAGCAACTTTAGGAGGTATGGGAACTACTGTTTTTGATGTTGCAAAGGCTTTGGTTCATGCTGGTGCACTTCGTGAAGAGGATATAGCTCCTCTTCGTGAATCCAGTTCTCTAAACTTTGAATCTGGTCGTCGTCACACCGATGATGCTGATGAAGAGGAGGATTTTGATGATTTTGATTAATTAAAAAAAGAATTACATTTCATATTCCGTCTGAACCTTGTAGACTTGTGATTGCACTCAATAGAAACTGACGCTTACACTACCTTTTGGTTCATGCCAGTGATCTCTTCAAAGATTAATTAACATCTTTTGGATCTCTTTAATTTTTCTATTTCTAGTAATAGGTTAATGCGTAAAAAGAACAGTATATAAAGATAAATACAATCAATGATTCCAACCTTTCTTTACTTGGGCTACCCATACTACCTGGTATAAGGATATCCCCATACGTAGGTGCGTCGAAATATGCAGCGAATCTTTTAGAAGGCACATCCAAACAGAACTTAGAAAAAAGATTTAGTATTTTGAATTTGTTGGGTAGAACAATTATCCATATATATATATATATATATATATACATCAAAATTACCCTTAAAATTCACATTCAAATATCCTTTTCATGTTTACGGAACGATATGGAAATTATCAAAACTATTACTCTATGAGAGGCAATGGATGTCTACTAGATTCTCGTATTGAAGCTTTACCAAAAGATCTATTTAAAAACACGTCTGTTTTAGACGTCGGTTGCAACAATGGAACCATAACAACACAGGTTGCATCTTTATTTAGCGTCAAGTATGTTTTAGGGATTGATATAGATCCAACTTTAATTAAGAAAGCAGATAAGCATCTCGAATTTGTTGCTTCTAGGGTCGGCCCTTCTTATGACCATCGTCCGATGGTTTCAAGACAAAACTTTTATCCAATATCCAGCATTAAGAAGTTTTCAAGGATCCAGATAAAGTTCCAGAAACCCCTGAATGAAGAAGGATTTCCTCACAACGTTCACTTTCGTGCTGTGGATATCCTCAGATGGCAACCCAATGAACGCTTTCACACAGTTCTAGCTCTCTCTGTTACAAAATGGATCCATTTAAACGGACTAGATGAAGGCTTACTGTCATTTTTCAAAAAAATGCATGCTGTATTGGAACCAGATGGTGTACTCATTATTGAACCCCAGTCGTGGGATTCGTATCTTAAAGCAGCAAAAAAGTTTCTAGTAAGGAGGTTTTCTTTTTAATTAGGCATAGCTAACCAGTCTTAGTTTTTTGAGAAATCGCTTCATAAAATTCAAATACGGCCGGAAAATTTCCCAGAAATTTTAGAGCAGCACGGATTCGATCTTCAGACTGTTGTGAGTTCTGAAAACGCAAGGCCGAAAAATATAGAACAAAGAGGATTCTCAAAAAGGGATATATTCATATTTAGAAAAAAGAGTGTCTGAGCTAATGTCTATTGCTGATGGTTTTCAGGAGAAAGGTTTTGGAAAATTCCTACCATTCAAATTATTAATAAGGGACCAACTTATATCGCTTTTTTATTTATATTCGATCTTAATAACCAATCAAAAAATGAAATAAAATAAAATAAGGAAGTACTTAGATTTGACCTTTAATATCAACAACCGTATATTTTTTCCTGACGGCATCGAATTTATCGATGCTTTCTTTCGTTAATACACGTTCTGAATCATTGGGGTCAAATACAGATTGACAATCAATAAGAAATTTTTTGCATTCATCCATATCTTCAAACGCCAGAGTATTGGCTATAAAATCAACGGGAACGGACGGTCGGTATGCCCTTGAAATCGTGTACATGGCATTGACTCGTTCTCTTATGACAAAAAGATCCATCAAATACCCACCCATATTAGGAGCAGTTAAATATAACTGGAAGAATTTGTAGTAATCGGCAGTAGCACTTGCTGATCGAACCTCTAGAGCATGCTGAACAGCTGAATCCTCTTTTTCTTGATCAGTCATGTTTGCCAAAAGACTATTCATTTCTGTAATTTTGTTAGAAAACACGAAAGTAAAACTAAGCACTTACCTGACCGGTTTTTTGTGTAAAGCATGTAAAGAATTCTATATGCCAAGAATTCTTTGACCTTTCCAGGAATTCCAAATCCATATAAATGAAATAATTGAGTTTGGCATTGATTGTATTCACCTACGTCTCCCTAAATAACTGTTAGTAAATACAAATTAATGAGGATGTGATGTACCTTTTCTAAAGCTATTCGAGCGTGAATCTCGTAAACCAGCACAGAGAAATCATTCTGTATTCTCTGAACAGTAAGATCCTGTCTCAAACTTTTGAATTGATCACAAATATAGGCGTAATTCTTCTCCTCTTTCCACTTCCTTTTCAATAACTCCAGTGTTTGTTTCAGAATCGGAAGTGGTCGAACGGTATTAGGATCAGGTGAAGAAGTTAGACGAAGATAACTTTTTTCTAAAGCAGTGGATCTCCCAATGATTGCTCCATTATCAGTGAAATATTTAGATTCCTCTGATACAGAAGGAGTAGATGAGCGTTCATCGGCAAGAAACCTACGTTTCCTCTTTTCTTTTTTTGCTTGTTCTTTTTGATCATTCAAGACTATACTATCACTTGATTGGTCTAGCTTGCGTTTCTTCTCTTCCTGCATCTGATCCTGAATTGCAGTTAATCTTCGCAAAGCGTCGAAATTCATCGTAGACCAATCGATATTCCATATATTCCCATTTTCATATTGTCGAGAAATCAGAATTTTTACTTCGTCTTGCAAACCACTTTGGTTGTTTTCTTCAGCATCTTGAATACATTTACCTATAAATTCCTTCAAGGAGTCAGGCCACGGATTGCTTTCCGTATCCTTTTGCATACTGATTATATTCACTCATATAGTAAATATCCCCTTCTTCGATGGAAATTACAGAAAAACAAACTTGTTGGGGATATAGGTACGTTGTTTTGGTATACACTAGAAGTTGAGAAGAGCAGGTTGAAAAACTTTGTAAGGGAAAGTTTAATTAAATCTCAATTAGGTGGCATCTATATGAAAAAAGAAAATAACAGAACAATGAAGAGAATGGATTTCATTCCTCTGTCCATTTGGCATGAGTAATTTTGTTTAGTACAGTATTGCTACGCGAATTCTGGTAAACCAAGTGAAACCAACAAGAAAAAGGTAGATACAAGCTAACTGTTACCAGCTGAAGGAAATTAAACGAAGAAATAAAAATAAAAAGGTGAAGAATTGACAAGAGTATTGAGCTCTTCTAGTGGTCCGTAAATTTTCCTTTAAAAGACAAAAGGTACCTTTGATGGAAAGACAACAGGTGATCGATTGCTTTCGAAAATTACTTCCTGAAGAGACGGAATACAATGACAGGCTTATAAGCTTAGCAGAGTCGTTTTTAGCCTGGTCGAGATCTAAAGTTGTTTTGAAAGCAACAGAAGAGCCTTGTAGACCGTATATGGCAGCACATTTAGCATGCGAGATGTACGTTTGTTGAATCAAGAAATATAAGGTACTAATATTGAGAAAGTCTGAAAGGAAGACTAAATATAGAAATCCATGTTAACGCGACGCCAATTCCTAAGAAGAAATACGAAAAGCAGTTCACATATTTTCAAGAGGTTCTTCGTCCTTTGACAAAAGATCTATATGCGCAGCATGATATTCTGAATGATGTTCCCTTTCTATGTACAAGAATGGGCAGTCTTTCAGCTATCCCTTATGTAAAGGAATTGGTGAAAACAACGGTAGTGGAAAACATGAGGATTGAACATATGAAGGGTATTTTGATAGCTGCTTATTTGATTGTTTCTGCTAGAATGAGTGGAAAAGATGAATTGCGTGTCAACCACGCTGAAAGGAAAGCGGCTCAAGTGATTCTTCAGGATACAAACTCAATATCGCAAATTCAGTATTGGATGCAAATTTTGTCTGAGTCGCTTGTTTTTCATCAAATGCCCATGAATGCAATGGAAGGCTACGAAGTCCAAAAACAGCGGACGAAGCCATGGAGTGGAATTGCCAGTATGGTTCAGATTAACTATGAAAAGAGACTGAAAAGCTATCCATCGTGGAAAGCCAGTATTTACGAGCAACTAGAGCAACTGAGCTAATGAAGAAAAAAAGAAAACTATGGATATGAAGCAAAAGATAAGGTGCTATAATGACTGTCCAACACAGGGAGCTAAAAGGAACAGAAAATATAATGTTTACAAATGGTATTTATTACTTCTATGTTCATTGATTCATTCATGCAGTAACAAAGATGCTCAACGTTAAGCTTTCGAGATGGTCCATTGCATATCAGAAATGGAAACCTCGGCTCCAGCTTTTTCATCGTAATCATACCAGTCGTCTTCTAATTCTACCTCGGCAAATATCGTACCACTCTCTTCTCCTTTGACGACCCATTCGCCTTCGGGAACGAATTTGACGAGTTCGCAGCCTCGGCATTCTAACTCTAAAACACGTTGTTGACTTTGAGAATTTGTATAAGGAAGAAATCGGCTGGCAATGGCTACAAAATAATTAGCATATGTTGTCAAGAAGAGGCATGAGGCATCACTCAAGTCGCAAAATTCGAACTCAAGTTATCCTCAATGTCTCCAACTATTCCTTACATATCGTACTCGTTCTCTGCAATGGGTTAGCATTTGTAAGGGAGAAAAAAATAAAGAAAGAATGGAATGAAAGAGATTTGACTCACAACGCACCAATAAATACGTCAGTTGGAGAAAGATCATACCTTGCAGTTTTTACAAGTCCAAATCAAGTTGGCTTCTCCCTTGCTTCCGGGAATGTCGTGGATTTCAGATCGACAGATGCCGATAGGGTTCTCGTGGACTTCATGGCAAGAACCACATTCAACTTCAAACATGTAATAGAAGGCCTGTTCGTCCTTTGGGCTAAGGCTAGACACGCCGGCGAGTTCAGCCTGAAAATTCAAAGCAAATTTGACCATCTTATAAAAAGTTTAAAGAAAAAGTTTTCTCTGACGTCCAGTATGGTCTTCAGGTTTGAAATCTGTTTTTGTTAACCGAACTGAAAATTTGTTTTATTCTTATGTATCCTTATGACCAGCAGATCTACAGGTAACGATCAGGAGTGACAAAGAAAGTTCGGCAAGTAAAATGAAAAGAGGTCGTTTTAAAAATGATGACTTTATTGGTTTTGCTTTGCGATCCTTTATTTTGCATGTCTTATAGGGACTGGGTTGTCGCTGAAATATCTATTCGGAGGATTTTTTTCAGCATTCTTGTGCGGTTGATTTGGCAACTTTTAGCAAAGCTGTTAGTTACCACCAAAGGGAAGAAGAAATAGAAGAAGAAAAAACGAAAATCAAGAAAAGGAATTCATAAAATATTGAGCGCATAGATTTTTTGAAGAAACCTTTTGGCTTATCCTTCTGAGGATGAACTCGGTAGCTAATACTTTAAGTGATACAGTGACGAATATTTTGACAATGATGAGATCAAGGGGAAAATTCTCGCTGGACGATTTATTGCATTGCATGAATTAATGGAGAGAAATCCTCATTGGACGAACAGAAAAGCAGGTATGCATTGTTGAAAAATGGCTGAGGGATGGGGTTTGGAAAGGTGAGGCTGTATCGTAAGGTATGTTCCCAAGGAAAAAGGTTTTTCATCAAAAAAACGCTACTTGTCATGAAAAAAAGAGCCGTTTCATAATATTACTTTGCATTCCAAAAATCTATTCAATAATTAGGCATCACATTTCACGTTAAGGATTATTTGTTTTGGCTGCAAGTCAGTTGTATTTGCTTCCGGTTCATTCAATGCGATTTACCATCAACCTAACGTTACTTGAGAAGAATAAAAGCTGAAATTATCATTCTTTTTGTCGACTGAAACAACATGACACTAAGTACTGCACTATCCGAATTTTTTTTTTTTTTTTTCAATCACAGATGCACAAAAAATCGTCGACTACCCTTGCCTGTCTTGAATTGGGCCTTGCATCCACTCCCATCTTGTTCTTTTTGGTTGACTTAGTACTATCCGATAAATCAATTTCCTCTAGACTCTTACTTTCATCAGATTTTCGTATGTTTCTATACAATTATATTATTCAGCGAAAAGCATAATTATAATAATAAAGCTGTTTGATTTGCCTCTTTTCCTATCGGCTTACACCTTAGCGTATTTCCTTACTAAAAGGTACGATGTTACTTGGGCTACTACTTGGCATCTACCATTGATTTTTCTCTTACATAAATCCACACATTTCCAACGAACGGATACGAGAGAATAGCTCTTTTAATTTGTTTTAAATAGTATTGTTGATACTGTGTAATTTCCTTGAATTCTTTTTCTCTCGGTCACGTTGGAAATTGGACACACTTTGCTAGTTTGCTATACCTCGTGTATTTAACCATTTGTGCGCGTGCTTTTCGAATAATCGACGGCACTGTTGCTTGATTTTCTTTTTATCTTTGAATAGATAAAACTGGTTTCTTCTCGCACGCGCTCGTCCTTTGGGTTTAAAGTCATTTAAAGTCATCACAAATTGTCGCTTCTATACAAATTTTTGAGGCTAAATTTATATTCTGCCTCTCCTTTGTGTAGTGTGTGATTCCTAAAAGGGTCGGTTGTTGGTTCTTATTACTAAATTTCATTCATCCAGATTCCTTTGTTTTGGATTCCACCTGAAACCTGTTTCGATAGCAGCTGTTTTCTTTACCATTAGGTTGTTTTTTCTTTGAAAAGGCTTCTCTTTGTTTATTTATAAGTCGGGATCCTGTCTTGGTCTAAAATCTGCATACGGATTCAGTGTCTTTTTTCTTCCCTTCTGGACTTAGATAGACGTACTTTTCTTCGGTACTGCGAAAGATTCGGAGAAGTAAATTGCTGGCTGTTCACCGGCTCGGCTTTCTCGATTCTAAAAAGATAAGGAACATCGTTATTTAGTTTCCGATTTGTTTGTTTACATTCGGGTTGAGCGTGGCGGTCTATCGGGAATAGAATAATTTGCAATTTTTGCGAATTTTTTTTCTTCTTTCCCTTCTTCACAAACTTTTTCTATTTTTTCCTCTTTTTTTAACGTTTCCAATTTGCATCCACACTCTTCTTCTTCAGGTGATCTACCACCTATCCCTCAACCAGCTGTAGTCCATATGAAGGGTGAACTGAATATTCCGGCGCTAAGTCGGTTTGGAAAATCGATTTCTGCTTCTTTGCATCACCAAAACGACCCTTCGAATGAAGAAAATGATACAAGCTCTCAGAATCGTAGTACATCGAACAGCGGTTTAGGTCGTAGAAACTCTATTTTCAGTGTCAATGCTTCTAATGGTTTTGGCTCTCTTTCCGCCAATCGTTCTAATAAGCAATCTTCTCCACGGCCTCCTCCTCCTCCTCTTGAGAGTCCTTTTACCGACTCCACTGCCGTCGTCCCAAATAACATCTCCTCGGCGGTTTCCACTCCCGTGAATAATAGAATGCCCATAAAGCCTCCCCTGACATGGAGCCCTTCTTCTGCGAATTTGTTTGGAACTTCTCGCATCACTTCTATCATTGGAAATAACGTCTCAGATATCGTTCCTCCCGTGATCAAAAAAGCTCTTGCTTCTTCACATGGTGGCGGTATGTCGCTTTCCATTGTCTTACTAGAACCCGTTTTGTACCTTTCTGGATACGATATAAATGAGTGTCAAAACGAAAACCCTGTTATTTTGCGTGGTGCCTTGGTATTACGCGTTGCTAAACCAGCAAATATCCGTGGCATTTCCCTGTCATTTACGGGTCGCTCCAGAACAGAATGGCCTGAGGGGATACCTGTCAAAGGTCATGAAACCTATGAAGATAAAATTATCATATGCCATCATTGGAACTTTTACAATCCAAATATAAAAGATGCCGATGCTCCTCAACATGGAGCCGACGTTGCCCGTCTTGTTGGTGAGCATGTTTCCCTTCCATCTTCTTCCGCTGCTGGTCTCCGTGGTTATAGCGTTTTTGCTCCAGGTGAGTATACTTACAATTTCGATTTAGCTATTCCAAACTGTTTTCCAGAATCGGTAGAGGCAAAATTGGGTTGGGTTCGCTATTTTTTGGAAGCAACAGTCGAAAGATTCGGTACCTTCAAGAGTAACTTGAATGGTAGAACTCCAGTTCAATTAGTCCGTACGCCATCACCAGCTAGTTTATCTTCCACTGAATTAATCAACATTTCGAGGGACTGGGATGAGCGGTTACATTATGAGCTACAAGTTTCCGGTAAATCTTTTCGCCTTGGCGAAACTCTACCTATCACTTTTAAGTTTTTGTTGCTCGATAAAGTTCGACTGTACAAATTGTCCTTGTCCGTTGTAGAAACTGCTGAGTACTGGTGTCGAAGCAGGAAGTTTCATCGCGTTGATCCAAAACGTCGCGTGCTTTTGATAGAGCGTTCTGTCAAACATCATAATACGGATAATTTATTTTCTATCCCAGATGAAGGGGATGGCATTTCGAGTGCCATTTTTAATTTCAACGTTAAGCTTCCCACTTGTATTGTAAAAGAGCGAGACAGATTGACGTTTGATACCACTTATAAGTATATAAAGATTCGGCATAGGCTTAAAGCTCTTTTGGTTTTGTCGGTTGAAAATGAGGGTAATCCAGAAAAGAGGAAATATTTTGAAATCAACATAGAAACCCCTATTCGCATTTTGTCTTGTCGGTGTGTGAAAGATTCCACTCTGTTGCCTCCTTATGAATTGACCCATCGTGATAGTCAAGTATTGCTACCATGTCCTTGTCGTTTAGATGCTACTCAGGTTGAACCTGCTGAAGTAACTCCCTTTACGACGCAGAGCGTTTTGGCCAGTTCTTCTGCGGCTACGGCTAGTTCTCGTAAGCCTACTCGACCAGAATTATTCCGAATTCCATCTACCAATCCACCTCCATTTGAAGGCGACATTTGTCCTCCACCTTGCGAAACTCCTCCACCTAATTACGACGAGCTATTTGATGCCCTCAATTCTATAAATATCCAAGGTTGTGAAACAGATCTTGCTAATGATGACACAATACTGAATAGCCGTTCTAGAAGAGGTCAAGTCGTGGGCAGTAATAGTACTAGGACACCTCGCAGACATTTATCTCGTACTGCTAGCCGCAGTTTTGATTTACAACGGTAAATACGGCTATGGAGTGATGAACAGCAAAATGTAATACTTATGATATTAAAGTTTGGGTTCCCTTTTTGGTTGACTATGAATAATGAATTGTGACAAGTTTGGATATACCAGCTGGGCTGGGTTTATGCTACCAAATTGGATAATGCTTAGTCGGGTACATTCTCATCCATCTGCGTTTTACGACCGTATATTGAGCTAGTGTTTTTCTTATTTCCCTAGAACATATAATCGGTTTACAAGAAAAAGTAAACAAAAACAAAAAAGACCGCAGGAATGTGGCGCTTCAAAAAGCACTCTTGTGAAATACTATTTTGTTTTGTTCATGATAAAACTCTTTTGTAAATCATGAGTGCTGCGGATATATATGTAGTTGTTTTTTTTTCAGAAAGGTTGAAAATAATCGACTTTAATTTTTGTGATAATCATTAGGCAGCATTGGATAATGAATAATATCTTGCATTTATGATTACAATGATATGATTGTAATGTATATGATATTGCTGAGAAAGGTGAATTTGTTTGTCTATCTGTTTACAGAAGGGTAGTAAACAAACGAACGAAAGGGATGACGTATTAATATATTTACAAACACGGCCTTGAACTCCATTGCCAACTGCTTAACAGACATTCTTTTTAGAAAGAGAGAAAAAGAATCATGAGTTTGTCTACCCAGGATGTTTATATCTACCGAAAGCAGTTTGGTGTAAATTTGGGTGCTTGGTTTTGTCAAGAACGATGGATTAACGATTCGCTCTTTGAAGGGCCTGGAGACAGTGAGTTTGACGCTGTTCAAAGCGTTGTTCAGAAACACGGAATAGACGGAGCACGCGGTCTTTTTGAAAATCATTGGAGAACGTGGATTAGCACGAACGATTTTTCCAATCTTCAGCAGCTAGGAGTCAATACTGTTCGTATACCGATTGGATATTGGACACTAGGACAGAGCCAGTTTTTGCAGGGCACTCCGTTTCAGCAATATGCAGGAGTTTATCAAAACTCTTTAAATATTTTGTGCGAAAAAATTCGAGACGCTAGTACCAAGTCCATCGGCGTGTTGGTTGACTTTCATGGCGTCTATGGACAAGCGAATGGAGGTTCTCACTCTGGAACTTCCTCTGGTAAAGTAGAGTTTTTTAGTAATTCTCAAAACCAACAAAGGATGGTATCTGCTCTCCAATATGCTGTCTCCGTCTTAAGAAACTTGGAAAATCTCGTCGGCATCGAGGTAATTAACGAACCAGAATGGGGACAATATAATGTACTTAATTCCTATTACCAAAATGCCCGGAAAGTCATCCCATCTTACTTGCCTACCTACATTGGTGATGGATGGGATAAAGATCGTAAGTAGACACAATAAGCATATGTGATGCACAAAAAGCTCAAGCAATTACTAACATTCAAATAGATTGGGTGAACTGGGTGAATGAGCATGAAAACGACGGTTTTTATGTTGTTGATCACCACAGCTATTTCTGCTTCGGTGGTGATTTAATGAACCAGTCCCCTAAGACGATCACCAGTAAGCTAAACTCCGGAGAAGAATATGGAAAAACAAAGCTTTCCAACCTTATTGTAGGTGAGTGGAGTTGCGTACTTACAGAGGAGTCATGGCAACAAACCAAGCTGCATCAATACAGACGCAAACAGTTCGGAAAAGCGCAAGTGAGTCAATACTTAAATAATACTGGAGGATGCGATTTTTGGACATACAAATTCCTGCACGGAAAAGGTGGAGACTGGGATTTCCGGGTTGAGAATGAAGATAAAATTGTGCAATATCCCAAACATCTTCCCAAAGCTAGTGGTTCAATGCCATGTAAGCTCTCTAAAAGACGTAAACAAAATTATTCTGGGCACTGTTATTATTGGGACCATCTGCACCCAGATGGTCAGTATCAGCATGAGCTTTACCTCCAAGGTTGGAATCAAGCGTGGAGTGACCATGTAAATTTTCTTAAACATGGCGCTCTCATCGGATTTCCTCGTGGATGGACAATAAAGCGTATGTCTGAGATTCAATCTCAATCTGCATGGGAGTATCGAGACGGCATGAATGCGTGCTGGACGAGTATGGACCAACTTGGCTATCTAAAGTGTGCTTAAGATTTTTTTCCTTTTTTTTCAGAATTGAAATATTCAATATAGGACATGCTGCCACGTCTCAAGCGTCAACCCTTATACTTTCGGGGCCAAAGTCTGCTTGAGTCAAACCTATACTTTTGACATACATGCATTTTTCTCAATCCATATGCATTGTTTTACCCTAGGCAAATGTGGAAAGTACGAAAGGACTTATAATTACAATATAATCTTACACTCATGCATATACCAATTAATGAAATTCACCATATAAATATAGTTTACCTTGTTCAACCGTTTGTTTAAATACCACGTTAATTTTGATATTATGTATAAAAAGTTCATATAAGCTTTTTCTTTGTTGTCGTTTTCACATTCTCTTTAGCTCATCCGCATTAAGTGACATATGCATTTCTTTGTAAAAACAAAGAAATTTCCATCCTTTCATACTTTTGCTTCGTAGCATATTACTTGTATACTTTTACCAAATACAACCAAGAGTCCACGCAGCTTCGACTTGCTTTGCTCCTACAAAGTCCTGAATAAGCAACCTCATTTGCCTACCACAACAATATCCATAACAAAAAAAAGGAAACCTGGAAGTTACTCATCGAGGAAGAATTCTCTGATTTTTAAAAATAATTGGATTTGTTTTAACAATTGAAACTCAAAAAGGGAGAGAATCGGTCATTTTAGGCGAATTGACAACTTTGAAGTCTTTGGGCATTCTTTTCAAAGAAAAGTGAAAGATAAACGAGGCTCTTACTCCTCTATCAATTGAAACTTTAATTATTATTAAAAGTCGTTCGTTAAAACCGTTGCGTTTCACTGAACTAAAACAAAGAGCTAAAGTTGACACTGATTCTTCTGAACCCAAATTCGAGGGCTGACTGTAAATTCTTTTCTACATTTGAAAAAAAAACACCTCAAATTTGATACTTAAAGGATTGCTCCTGCTAATTTCCACTAACAGAGCCCTGCTGAATTTGTACATAAAAATAAAACATTAAAGTGCGCTAATCAAAATCCAGTAACTGGTCTCTCTGTTGTGTATTTATGCTATGTCTGTACGTTATGGCTTTGAAAATCTGGATCGCATGAAACGTTTAACTCATGCATTGAGAGATGATGAATTGCGACGGAAAGAGAATTTTGGGAAGAACAAGGTCTTACCTGAACATTCAAATTCATTTAAACTTTCTAATGAAACATGCCTTGATACAGCGTCGTCTCCAAACGCAAAACAATTGTCTACTTCTGCAAAAGTACTAAGTAAAATAGCCAAAAGTCCTTTCCGCTCTGATACTCTAAAAGAAGAACCTCGTTCGGTTGATCCGCATGTACTTGTTCGTGCTCCCTATCGTCCTAAAGAAGTTCGTTCTTGGCGTTCAAAGTACTCACGGCATAGTCGTGCTTCGCGTCCTGCAAAGACGTCCTCAAAAAGAAGTAACTATGAAGCTACTTCTATGAAAAGAACAAAGTCCCTTCCTAGTATGCCTCGTCCTTCTTATTTACCGCCTCCGAAGGCTTCAGTTGTCTGTGTTTCGCTGGTTGTACAACCAGATGGTGCTGCATCTTTGGTTTCAGAGGACATGAATGATATGTCCAGGAACCAAGCAAACGAAAGCTGTCTCAATTCGATCAGCTCGGTTGAAAGCGACTTTTTATCAACAAATCTTACTAGTAACTCTGATTTTATTTCAAGTGATCTGGCGGAACCTTACAGTTTCATAGACGATCTAGGAATTGGGATGCAGCGTTCTGTGACTTGGTCACCTGGTTTCAAACCTTTTCAGAATGATACTCCTTCAAAATATTTGGCTTGTCAGTCAGAATTCCCTCTAGAGTGTGAGGTACGTGATCCATTTTACCCGAAAAATCCTATCCAGGTAGATTCTATATCATCGGGGAAACAATTTTTTGGTAATTTTCCATATCCGGATACATTTGAGGATCCCTATAGCTCGGAAATGTGTGATCCTGGATCATCTCTAATGGGTTCCCATTCAGAGCCTGCTTCTGAGTCCGTGACGATGGGTGGGGAACCTATGAGGCTTTGCTTTAGCGATAGCACACTTTGCGATGCTCGTGTTGCGGCAAAACAAGCATTGATACATCGTAAGCAGGGCGAAAGGAAGGAAGTATTGAAAGATCCACCCTTAACACCTCCTTCCAAAAACATGCCCAAAAATGATAATGTTGTTTTATTTCACAGTAGTCCCCTTTTCGATCGTTTAGGAACCTCTCTATACCACAATACTAAACCCTCCAAGGCCGAAGAACCGTGGTTTTCAAATTTTGAAGTTTGTTCTGAACCGCCTCAGCCATCACTTTATTCTAGTGGCTTTGGTCCTGAGGGAACAGATGAATTACTAGACTCAAGTTTTTGTAATGATTGGTAAAATGTTTTTTCGTTACATGGAATACACATGATTCAGGGAACGTTCCGGGTTGAATTGCTTATTTGCAGTCCATATGTTTAGTTTGTACGCATTTGTTTTATTTATTATTTTATCTTATGATTAGCAATGATATTTCACATTCTTAATGTCCTTGTGAGGTGCTATAGATAACATGCATGTACATCGCAACAAGCATGAAATTTTGGAAAAGTACAAATTCAATAAGAAGGAAGGAAGAAGCAAGAGCATAATGATAAAGGCATTATTATTAAGTGATTACATGAAAACAAAAAGGAACACAAAAGAGAGGGTATGGCAGATATTATGGGGTTCATGAAGGTGAGTAATCTTCCAGAGAATTCGACAGCCAACCTGGATTTGGCCATACACGGGCTATGACTTTAGCTTTGATTAAACCCATGGGAACAGGACCATAGGTACGGCTGTCTAAGGAATGCATGATATTATCACCAGCTAGCCAAACATGACCTTTAGGGACTTTGATTTTAGTGTCAGGCACCACAGGGTCAGTATACACCACATCTCCAGGCATACCGATAATTCGTTTGCAAACATACTGCCTCGGGCCGGTAGGTTTTGCGGCAACCACCATATCTCCAACGGTGGAGCATCTCCCAAAGCGACCATGATATTTGTCGAGTAGGACAAATTCACCGCCAGAATTTAAAGTGGGCATCATACTGGGACCAGATGTCATTTGGATTTGAAAGAAATGCTCATGAATTTGGTGTACAGCAGCAGCAACTTGGAGGACGGATACAGGAACTCGTAGAAACGTTCCCATCATATTGGAAAGAACAAGACCAGTAGGTAATCAAGGGGAAATAAAGGATTGAAGTGAACTTCTTTAAGAGAAAGAAAAGAAAAATAAGTAATGTTTTTTTATAGGCCGCGCACAAAAGATAAGGGGATAGGCAAATCAAAACATGATTTATGTGAATTCTAGATTTTCACGTCCAATCAATTAAATGTGAACAGAGAAAGAAAGAAAACAAAATAGAAGTTTACCTTCTCCTAATGCCAAAAGAAAACCAAAACTAGAGCACAGTATAATCAGTTCAGGACCTAGATCGTTATACTGGTTAAATTTCAAGGATATACAAAGAAATGGAGGTAAGTCTTACTCTACTTACTTCACTGACTTCCGTTTGCAACGGTGGAAGCGGAAGGGTAGGTAGGAGCAGTAGAAGTGGTTGAAGACGCAAATAGTGAGGGTCTGCGAGAATGTTTTTCTAATAATACTGACATGGCCTTTGAATCGATAAATAGTTTACCGAATTTAAGAGCATCACGGACTTGAAATTCACTAACTGGGCAAAGGTCCACATCTTTGCTTTGAGTTGGTGCAGCTTTTAGAAAATTGTTTTGGTTAGCGTTTGTAGGATTAAAGTAGTCGTCATGTAACACAAACAAGGACCGACCGTATGGATGGCCGAGCTGGTGTTGCAATATAATCTCTTGCAAGACACGGCTTTTGGCTAGAGGAATGTCGATCATATTCTCTAAAACCATCAATTCGTTTCTTGCGAATCTGTAGCTCAAGGCTACACGCATGGCCATGCTGTAGACTTGTGATTGCAACCTTGTACTAAAATCTCGAGGCTTAGGACCATGAGCAACGGCACCTCCTCTGCGAATAGGGCTTGAAGCATCGCCTACTCGTGCATAACCCGTACCTTTCTGGCGATACATTTTTTTTCCAGAGCAATTAATTTCACTGCGTCGTTTGGTACTAGCGGTTCCTTGTCTATCAGCGTCCGCTTCGTAGACAACGGCACGATGCAGGATGTCGCGTCGTAGCCGTTCTTGCAAAAATTGCTTCGGAACCTGAAGGATACTGGATGGCTCAAGAGAAGGGAATCTGTATCTCGTAAGATGAAGCATAGCGAATGTATTAGTCCCAAAATGCGCTCAAAAGGACTTGGAATGGCAATGGACAAAGAATGTTGTTTTGTCTGGCTGTGGGAAGGAAGTGCTTTTCCCAAATAATGATTATGGTTGTGTGCGTTATATAGCTTTAAAAATAGTACGTTGTGCTCCACAAAACTAATCCTGTTGAAGTAGGGAGGGAAAAAACAAAAATTACTTGTTCTATGATTTGTACTTTTAGCTGCTTTTCTTTTTGAAATGGCCTTTGCTGGTGAGATACATTTGGTACGATGGTATGGGTCTCTCTTACATTCTTTATCGTACTGCATAATATGATATATCATTTTGTAGAAGGTGATATTTGAGAAAAGCGTTTTTCTTTTTTTTTGGTTATTGAAATATAAAAGATGCATTTGTACTTCATTTGCATCCTTTGATTTCATTTTGTTTTGCAAAAGGGACCGACGAATGTACGATTTGGTACAAAGTATTTCTAACTTTCTTGTTTGTTTACAAGGAAAATAGGGTAGAAGAAATGGAAGAAAGTCAAGAGAAAAGGAAATCAAGTTTATGTTTTTCTTTTAATAATTGTAGATGAGAAATTGCAGTTGTTTTTGATAGCTAATGTTGTAGAATGGGTAGGACTATGTAAACAAAGCGACTAACCAGAAACAGGAATGAAAGCGCTACCGTACCATCGATCAAAGAACAGCATTTGTTGAGAAGTAAAGTAGATAAATGCAAAAACAGGATCGGCCCTGGTAACCTACAGGAAAAATACAGATATCTCAGGTTAGGACTACAAGAAGGAAAAGTAGATCAAATTATGTTGTACCAAATGATTTAGGTTGATTTATTATTCTCAAAAATTAGTAAAATAAAATTGATATAGGGTGAAAAGAATCTTTTAATTTGACAAACGTATTGTTCACCTCTATGACAAACATAGTCAACAACACCAAACAACACCCAAAACAAGCCTAGAAATTGGGACTGACATATCCATCACTTCAATGAATGGAAGAAACCTTACGGTAAAGGGTAGTAGTATTTTGCATTTTTGTAAGCGAAATTATCTGCCGTTGGATTCATTAAGCAACCGTTTCAGTATGTCTCGAGCGAGGATTTTAAACCAAAAATTCAAAAGTACATTGGCCTCAAACTCGTCTTCTGGATCTATTCTCATGGAAAAAAAATTAGGAGCCAGAGTTTTGACACTAAACCGACCAGAAAAGCTGAATGCACTCAATCTAGAAATGATTGATTCGCTTCATTCCAAGCTTGTAAAGTTAGAACAATCAGAATTAGCAAAAGTAATTGTACTACAGGGAAAAGGTCGGGCGTTCAGCTCTGGTGGTGATGTGAAAGATGCAGCTGGTCGTATAAAGCAAGGGGAATTATCCAACGTCCGGAAAGCATTTACAGAAGAATACCGGTTATGCCATACAATTGCTACATATAAGAAACCGGTAGTGGCATTTATGAATGGAATCACAATGGGTGGGGGTGCTGGCTTAACCATGCATGCTCCTTTTCGAATTGCTTGTGAAGACACCAAGTTTGCTATGCCTGAAACAACCATAGGCTACTTTACGGACGTGGGTTCTAGCTTTTTCTTTAACCGTATGCCGTCTCATGTAGGAAAGTTTCTTGCTTTAACATCCAACGTCGTCAGTGGAGAAGATTGTGTACCATTGGGAATTGCAACACATTATGTACCAAAGCACATGTTTGAGGAACTCGAGAACAGACTTGCCGATTTGAACACTTCTGATCTTCATATGATTAATGACACTATTTCTGAATTCTGCGGTGAGTGTCCTCAACCTTCCTCTTTGTTGAACGTTGAGAACCTCCGACTTATTGATAGTTGCTTTGGCATGAGAGACCCCGTCAGAATTATCCGTGCACTTGAGGAACAGGTTCAGTCCAATAGTGATGTCCCTGATTTCGCCAAGCAAACACTCGAAACTTTACTCAAAAAGTCGCCTCTCTCTTTGGCAGTAACGAATAGCCTCATTGAGAGAGCCGGAATGTGGACAATTTCTGAAGCTTTAATGTATGACCAAATTGTTTCTTATCACATGCTCAATCAACCTGACTTCATAATTGGCGTGGATGCTCAGCTCATAAGCAAGACTAGAAATCCTAAATGGTCCTATTCCTGGGATCATCAATTTGGAGATTTGGAGCAGGTTTATAAAGTTCCTGAAGAATACAAAAATGGAATTCAGTATCATTCGAAGGATAGATCCCATTCGCGTTTATGGGACTATAACGCCTACCCATATAGAGCATAAGGTATATAACAATGTGTTGGATTAGTCAAGATAACGTCGTCGTCTCCGTTTGAAATGAATAGTCCCAAACAAAAGACTATTTACATGACAGACTAGCTAGCAGTAAAGTGTGCATTTTATGAATATATGTCAGTCAAAAAAAAAAAAAAAAAAAAGAAAAAAGAAAAAAGAAAAAAAAANANAANANAANANACANANANANACANANATACANANANACANACACANANANANATATATATATATATATATATATATATATATAT